ATGGTCGTCGGTGTCGTCGCGGTCCAGTACTGCTGCTGCTGCTGCATCTTCTGGGGTCGCGAAGCTGCGGCCGCTGTTGGCATAGCCGCGTGCCTGGTTGCGGCGCTCGTCCTCGATCCACTGCTTTAAGGTGAGTGGCTCGTAGAAGAGGATGTCACGCGCAGGAACGATCTCGTTGCTGTCAATGTCAAAGATGAGCCAGCCTTTGTGCTCGTGGCTGAGCCCCAGATGAACTCCCCAGCGCGCACGATGAACGAACTTGCCGATTGTTGCTGAGGTCGGCCGGTATTGCACCATGCACCCCAAAACCCTCAGCATGGAGGGGTCTCCCCTTGAGCCGGTCCACTTCATGTGAGGAGACAGGTTGTCCCTGTTGGCGGTGGTGGAGAGGAGGTTGTGCAGGCGCACCGCGTGGTTCATGGCGTAGGGCCAAAACTTCTTTGGCAGGCCATACTGGTTCATGATGGCGCGGACTTTGGTCATGAGCGTGCGGTTGACCCTCTCGGCGACACCTTACTACTGGTGAGCATAGGGGGGAGAAATCTCATGCTTAATCCCCTTCTCGGTGAGTACGCTCTCCAGCTCATTGCTGCGAAATTCTTTTGCCCCATCACTCTGCCAGATCTTCAGTTTCCTCCCTGACTGTCGCTCCGCGTGCGCGAGGAAGATGCGGAACACCTCCGGGGCCTTGGAGCGGGCGTCGACGTTGGCGATCCACACGTGGCGTGAGTAGGCGTCGATGAAGGTGAGAGTGTACTTCTCGCCGTTGATGCCGTCGCAGGTGAGTACGATGAAATCGCTGTAAACTTTCTCCAGCTTTTTGTAGCGGTTGGTGCTCGGCTCCAGAGAGGGATAGGCGATGTGGGAGAGTGCAGCTGTGGGACAGACAGTGCAAGTGGTTGGATGGGGGGTGGTGTGCTGTAACTCCGTTCCGTCGGGGCGCAGCAGTGCTCCTGGCGGAAAGACTTGAGCGCGGAGGCAGTTGGCGAGTGTCTGGCGCGAGGGGTGGCCCATCCGCTGGTGCCAGAGATCATATTCGGCGCGAATGCCGGAGGTACGCTTGTAACGAGTGTGATGTTCTGCTGCCTCCTCCGCCGTGAGTTGCGGGATCTGGAGTGGGAGTTCTTCCTCTGTCCCTGGTTCTGCTTCGTTGTCCGGCTCCTCTGTCCCTGCTTCTGCTTCTGCTGCTTCCGCCGTTGTCTCCCCTTCTGTAGGTGCCGTTGTGAGGTAGAGCGCGAGAAATTCGCGGTCGGGGATGATGGTGAGCGGGGTCATGGTGCCTTCGATAAAGCGAGCAAACGGATCTGGGCGGGAGATTGGACCAAGGGAGTCCCGAGGAGGAGTTGGTGGTATATTCCCCTCCTCAATCTCCGACCAAGGATCGCTCCAGCGATAAGGTGAGCGAGGTGGTTCACCAGTGCGAGGGGGTCGACCAAGAGGAATGGTGACTCGGGGTGGTGCTTCGCCGCGCTCAGGTTGCATTTCTCGTTCAGCTTCCTCCAATTCTTCTTGCGTGAGCTCCCCTTCGTCGGGTTCAACTGTTCCCCATCCTACCGTGGTAACCGTGCCACTGGTGCTGGCTCCCCATGCTCCAGTGGCGGATGCCCAGGTTGCGCCGGGTTTTGGGTTGGCATACTCGTTGCCCCATCCTCCGTGTGCTGACTCTTCGTCCCATCCTGCCGCGATGCGCTGCTCATACAGCTTCTGTCTCTTCTCCGCCTGGGCCTTATCCTGTTCTTCTTTGACGCTCAGCTCCTCTGGTCCGTCAGGATCTTTCCAGGTCGGGTCAATCTCGCGGCGGTAGACGTCTCGAGTGTACGGGCGCAGTCGTCCTTCTTCGTCGAGGGTGGTGGTGTTGGCCTCTAGGACGAACTGGAGATTTTCCGAATATGGCGTTGTCCTTTCCGTTCGCTCTAGCTCGTAGGTCTTGTCTGCTTCGCCGAAGACGCGGTAGGATGACACAGCAAGTTCTTCTCTGGTCATGCTGGTAGGTTCCGCCTCGGCGCTTTCTGCTTCCTGAATCGCCGCTTGATCTCTTTCGACTTGTTGCGTGCGACTCGCGGTGGGCGTGTGACAGGTGGTGCAGAGACCGTTGATGTCTGGTTCGTGAAAGTTGATCTCGCGGGGGTGAGGGCTGCGGCGAACCCATGGTCGTCCATCCGGATGCTCCCACGACTCCTGGTTCATGAAGGCGAACTCGAGGGGAACGAGGTCCACGAGCTCATCCGATGACGCTTGGCAGGGAGGTATATCGAAGTCCAGGATGTAGATCCCGTTGATTGAGCGGGCTCGTCCGAGATACTTGAACGACTCAGGAGGTGTGTCCGGGGGAGCGTAGGTAAGGATGAGATCGCGCGTGGCAAGATCTGTGTGAATTATTACGCCACAGTCGCGGAGTTGTCCAGCCGAGAGCAGATTGAAGCGGAGGTTCGGGACGTAGAGAACGTCGTTGAATGAGATGTGAGTGTTGCTGTCTCGTGCTTGTAGGACGACAAGGCCTTGTGAGTTGGCGCGCAGCTGTTCGTTGTTGGCGACGGTGACGTAGGTTGCGGGAGCGCGACTTAGATTAGAGACGTATCGCGTGGATCCCACCATGTGCTGTCCGCAGCAGCTGTCCAGGTACCAGGTGTTATAGTTGTCGGTGTTGTTTCGGCGCAGAAGTAGCGCCAATCGCGGAGTCACCATGGTGGCCTTGTAGCGCCTGTGGAAGGAAGGGTCTTCGTCCTCCTTCCAACCCACTGGTACGTAGTGTTGATTGTCGTGTGGCGGGCTTTCCCGCAACATGATTGGCTGATTCCAATCCTGCTCGTCCTCCTCGTACAGGTAATAGTGGTCTTGAGTAAGGGGATTATTCCATCCCTCTTCTGGTTCTAGAAGTCTTCCTTGGACTTCGTTCTCCTCGTCAGGTTCAGCGGTGCGGCGGCGGCGTGTCGCCATGTTCGCGATGACGTTCCTGGGGGCTCCTGACTGAGATCCTTGAGCTTGCTGGTGTTGATGCTGTGCAGGGGAACGAGTTTGTTGATGGTGAGGTTGAGAATGACGAGCGTCTTGTCGGCCGACCCAGTTGTTATGGTGAGTGGAATTTGGGTGGCGGAGGTTGGATCGGGACTTGCATCGATCCGTTGAGTGTCCGAAGACTTTGCATATTCTGCAATAATGGCGCCTTGGTTGTCGTCGCTCTTCTCGGTTGTCCGCGTAGAAGGCGAGGCGCTCTCGGCGCGGCGCGGAGCTTGTTCTGCTTGAGTCCATGTCCTGTTGTTCGGACAGGAGTGCGGCGCATAGCGCGGCTTTTGAAATGATTCCTCGCTGTCGGAGTAGTGCTTTGCAGGGCTTCCACTCTGGCCCGAGTCCTTGAAGGACTATATTAACGAAGATCTCTTCCGAGATCGTACTCCCATGCTTCGTGATCTGGTCACGGATGTTGCGACAGCGGTTAATATATGGATTCGCCTTCTCCCCGTGCCCCATCTTTATCTCCAGAAGTTGCTGCAGAAGCCTGCTGGCGGTGACCGAATCCTTCGGCTGATAAACCTCAATGAGGTGCTTCCAAGCTTCCAAGGCTGGAGCGTCGCTCTCTTTGTAGGAGCGAATGTTGAGTTGTTCCGCATGCGTCATGTTTCGTAGCAGCACGCTGTAGGCCATGAGGGACTCGCTGTGGTACTGAGCCCTGGCGACGTCGGTGTTTTCCACCGGTTTAGGATAGGAGCCGTCAAAGTAATGGTAGATCTGCGCCGTTTGTAGGAGGAGCTCAAGCTCGAAACTCCATGTGTAAAGTCCTTGCCGTCAAACGCGGCAGTAGTCTTGATTTTTTAGACGCTAAGGAAGCGTGTTTGCGCAGAGTTGATGGCTTCATCACTTGGACGGGGGGCAGTTGTTGTTGATTTGTCTGTGTCGAGGGAGAAGGTGTGCGCGGCGGTATCACGGCTTTTCTCGGCCGGTTGTCCAGGTTGTGCTGGTTGGGAAGAGATTCCCGCATCGCCTTTGCGCAGGTCTTGGAGTTCTTTCTCCATAGTTGAAAGTCGAGCGAAAAGTTGCTCGAGGGCGGCAGTGCCGATCGTGGTTGTCGCCTCATTTGTCGCAGCCGGGTTGGTTTGTCCTTCAGCCGTCGGATTTGTCTGGCCTCCGGATCCTCCGGCCATCTTGGTCTTGGAGCGTGTGCCGCTCGCCAGATCTTGGTTCGGCGAATTTCACGGAAGTGAAATTGCGAAGAATCCCTGAGTAGCTCTCATACCATGTTACAATCCCAAGTGGGACTTAGCGAAGGATCGCTCAGGGTTGATCGCAGAGTAGTGTTGCAGCGGAAGATTTGAATCTCAGGTCAGAGTGAATGTAAATGACTGAGTTGATAATAGCATGCATACATCGAGTTTCTATAAGAATACAGGGGAATACGAAAAGACCTAGACTAGCCATGTACTCTAACGGGTACATTCCATTATTACAACAAATTCGAACCGTGCGGCGCGGGAACCCGTTTTGAACCTGTTCCCGCTCTTTTCATTTCAAATGTTTTTGTCTGCATCGGTCTCGGTCAGACGGTTGCTGCGTCGCTTCGACTCTTCGGACTCCTCGACTTCGTACTCAGTAGAGTCGGCTCCTGCAGCATACAGGAATGCCTACTCATAAGACTTCATATCGTAACGTCGCGCAAGCTCCTCGTATATTCTCCGTTAGGGTGACGCACAGGCTATGCGCCAACAGAACGCAGCCATTGGTTAGTCTGTTGATTGGGGTTAACACCAGACTCGCTACAGGCCGGAGTGGCCTAAGATCGAGACCTTCACCGTCTCCGCAAAAAGGGTTATACATCTCCAAAAAATAAAAATTGTGTGAATCTACAAACAATAGTACATCAATGTACTGCCGTACCATCTCAATCACAGAACTGCAACAGATATCCTCGACTGATAACAACACCAATGGGTGCAACTGTTTTAAATTCTTAGCCTGCATTACTCCCCTCTTCAACAGAGCCCTCCTCCCCATATTCTCAGTCACCCTCAGGACCCACCCCTTGCGAACCGGAAAATCCCATGCTGCTTCCTCTCTTGAAGTTGCCTGAACGCATCCCACAAACAAACGATATCAAAGAGAGGCAAGGTGAAGTGGAGGGAAGCGGCACAAGTTGGGCGGCAGTGACATCTCTTTTGAGAATTCTCAAAAGTAGGGTGGCAGTGACATCTGAAGTTATGCACAACACACGTCACACTGGCTAAAAAATATGGCCAGCTTATGAACCTAGCGGAAGAGTATATTTATTGCACTGTTGCTAAGCTGGCCGCTAGAGTTTTATGAATGACGAACTACACTCACTTTTGCATGAGCTTAGAGCGCTCTTTAAAGGCCGTGGGAATGTCCTGACCCTCATACGACTGCAGCACCACCCGAATGTCTGCCGGCCGCTGCCGTGCTACACCTGGGGATCGAGAAACGTAGGGGTGAGATTACAGGTCAAGAAAGTCAACAGAGTAAATGGAGACCCACCCCCCCCTCCCCCCTCTCCTCATACGATTGCAGCACCACCTGAATGTCTGCCAGCCGCTGCCGTGCCACACCTGGGCATCAAGTAACACAGGTGGTGCTGCAGCACAAGTAGACAGGGGAATTCCTTCTATACATTTTCCCTCTAAAGCAACTCAACACTCACAGCGCTGACTTACGGCATGCAGGCACTCACACTCGAGGAAGGGAAGCAATATGCAGTGCTGTGTCTGCACCCGTGTCCTTTCATGCCAATAGAGGGACGAGATTCTCCTTCTGAAGCACTGACTGCAGCATTCACTGGCATTTTAGAGCAATCATTGCTCTCCAACTCACACTCGAGGAACTGCAGCAGGTCCAGCAGAGCTTTGTCTGCGCCCATATCCTTCCATGCCGATAGAGGGACGAGATTCTCCTTCTGAAGCACCGACTGGCATTCTCACATGAGAGCTGCTCATGACTCACAGCATGCAGGGTCACTCACATTCGAGGAATGGCAGCAGGTCTAGGAGAGCTGTGTCTGCTCCCGTGTCCTTCCATGCCGATAGAGGGACGAGATTCTCCTTCTGAAGCACTGACTCTGGCAGAGAGCTGATGTAGATGACCTTGTTGGGATCGCGATTGAGCTTTGTAAGGTCCTGGTAGGAGCAGGGGTGGAGAAGAGGGAAAGGAGAGGGCAATGGGGCGTGTGAACCACCTTCCATGCGAGCAGGGGGACAAGATTCTCCTTCTGCAGCACTGACTGCCGCAGAGAGCTGATGTAGATGACCTTGTTTGGGTCGCGATTCAGCTTGGACAGGTCCTGATGGGAGATGGAAGGAAGAGGGGAGAGGGAATAGGAAGAGCACCGAGACACATGAAACACCTCTGAAGCGATGACTGCCGCAGAGAGCTGATGTAGATGACCTTGTTTGGGCCGCGATTCAGCTTGGACAGGTCCTGATGGGAGATGGAAGGAGGAGGGGAGAGGGAATAGGAAGAGCACCGAGACACATGAAACACCTCTGAAGCGCTGACTGCCGCAGAGAGCTGATGTAGATGACCTTGTTTGGGCCGCGATTGAACTTGGAGAGGTCCTGATGGGAGGAGAGAAGAGGGGAAGGATGAGGAGGAATGACGTAGGGATTAGGAAGGGCACTGAGGCACATGAAACACCTTTTGCAGAACTGATTGAGATGAAGAGCTGACATAGATGACCTTGTTGGGATCCCGGTCTAGCGTGGGTAGGTCCTGGTGGGATGAGAGGGCGGTGGGATGAGAGGGCTGTGGGATGAGAGGAAGGGAGGCGTGTTAGAAGGTCCTTTTGCATCACTGAGGGAGGCAGAGAGCTGATGTAGATGACCTTGTTGGGACCGCGATTGAGCTTGGATAGGTCCTGGGTTGGTGGGAATGGATTGAGGGAGGGAGACGGAAGGAAGGCCACGAGAGGGAGGGAGGGGAGCACTGAGTGAGGCAGGGAGCCGATGGTGATGACCCTGATGGGTCTCGATTGAGGTTGGATAGGTCCTGATGGGAGAGAGGAATGGGAGCGACGGCAGGGAGTGAGCGCATTAGGGGTGACTTGAGGCTCCTTGTGACACACTGAGGCAGTCAGAGAGCCAATGGTGATGACCCTGTTTGGGTCTCGATTGAGGTTGGATAGGTCCTGAGATGGTGGGAGTGGGAGCGACGGCAGGGAGTGAGCGCATTAGGGGTGACTTGAGGCTCCTTCTGACGCACCGAGACAGGCAGAGAGCTGACGTAGATGACCTTGTTGGGGTCGCGATTGAGCTTGGATAGGTCCTGGAATGGTGGGAATGCGAGGTGTAAGGTGAGGCGATACGAATGGTGTGAAGTGAAGAGATGGAACACCAATACATGCGCCACAACTCATGTTGTGAGAGTTGTGACTCTCATGCGCCACAACACCAATACTGTTCTGAGAGTTGAGCGCAAAACATGCGCCCGCATAGTTTTATCAGGGGTAGAAGGGAGGGATACATTTTTTTGGTGCGTCAAAAAGTGCAAAACATGCGCCCGCATAGTTTTATCAGGGGTAGAAGGGAGGGATACATACCCGCACGTAGTTCCCATCAGTGTAAAGTGTCCCGTCCCTGTATTGACTGTGGAAGACAAAACAAAGCCCGCATTGTTTTACCAAGAGTAATGACAGCACATACCCGCACGTAGTTCCCATCAGTGTAAAGTGTCCCGTCCCGGTACAGCCGGTAGCGAATGCACCCCTTCTGATCGAGCCGGTCCAATATGGGGTCGACAGACTGGGAGAGGGGGAAATGAGCAGAACAGGGGCATAAACAAGAGGATTTTCCCATCGGTGTAGAGTGCTCCATCCCGGTACAAGCGGTGTGTGATAACTCGATTTTTTAAAGTCGACTCAAAAATGGATTTTTCCCATCGGTGTAGAGTGCTCCATCCCGGTACAAGCGGTAGTGAATGCACCCCTTCTGGTCCAGCCGGTCCAAGATGGGGTCGACTGACTGAAACAGGTGGGCAACGAAT